AGGGTGAAGGCTTCAAAGCAGGTGGTTGGGGTGGAGGTCGAGGGGTAGGACAGTCATGATCTGGTTTGTGGTTAGAAAAATGGGGACTTGGTTAGGAGGCAAACGATGACAAGAGGAGACTGCTTCAATTAAAAACATTTATTTGCCAAATACCATGTGCCAGGAAATTTTGTAGACCAGGGGTCAGCGAACTGCTATGCACAGGTCAAATCTGTCCCACCACCTACTTTTGTAAATAAAATTTTAGTGGAACACAGACATGCCTATCCAGTTCTAACTCCTTTCATGCTACAAATGGAGAGGTAAGGAGTCGCAACAGAGACAGTAGGGCCTACAAAACCAAAAATATTTACTGTCTGGCCCGTTATAGAAAAAGTTAGCTAACCCCTGTGAATCTGGGAACTTAGGACACATCAGTGAACAAAACACACACATGAGCATGCACACACACAAATCCGTGCCCTGGTGGAACTCACATTTCCGTGGGCTGCTACGGTTGGGGACAGAAGCCTGGAATGGTGGGGCGACAGGTGAAGGGAAGGTGGAGAGAAGTGGCATCCAGGAGGTAAAAATCTACAGGACTAGGAGAGGGAGTGATTATGGGGTGAGACAGAGGTAAGTGTCAAGGAGACCTCCGGGATTCTTCCATTGATTGCAGGGGAGCTCAGTGCGACAGAGGCAGCATTGCCAGAGTAACTCTACTTCCCCTTTTCTGAAATTGAAAAGAAAAGAGAAAGAAAGAAAAAAGTGACATACTGGTTCCTTCCATGTATAAGACAGCTTGTCCAGGCATCACCAAAAGTGGCCACATCTCTGCAGTGCCTTCAAGTTCGTCTTTAGTCCAGAGCCATATTTGATTTTAAGATCCTTCAGGGCAGGAACTGTGTCTTTGTTCATTTATCTAACACACATTCCTGCGGCATCCACGGTATGCCAAGCTCTGGGCTGGGTGCTGAGGACACAGAGAAGCATATGATGTCATTTTGGTCCTGAGAGAAGCTGCAGTCCGGTTGAAGAGATAGAGACAGAAGCAAACAGTTACGAAGCAGTAGGATGATGCCATTCTTGAGGCTGGGACTTGGTTCAGCAGTGACAGGGGGGACCCTAAGCAGGGTGCATTCCACTCTAACCAAGGAGATTGGGAAAGACTTCAAACAGGACAGACCACTTAAACAGAGCCTTGAAAGATGAGCATACCTGGCAAAATGAAGCCAGCTAGGGCATTTGAGGGGGCTGTGTGTGCAAAGTCACAGGGGCATCAAACAGTTTAGAGACTTCGGGTGCTGCGGCAGTAGGGCTGGACCAAGGAGTGCGCTGGGCAGAGGCAAGAGGCGAGTCTCAGGAGGTGAGCAAGAGTGGACCACGAAGGGGCTGGGGGCTGTGCCGGGAGCCCTGGGCTTCTTCAGCAAGTGATGCTGGAGAGAGAGGGGCGAGGCTTGGAGGTGCAGATGCACAATGACAGGCGAGAGCGTGACGACCTACAGGAAGGAAAGGAGGGGACAGGGCATTGTCCCAGGATGGCCTGAGCTGGCATCTTGGAGCAGGGGCATCTCCCTCCCACGTCTTTGCATCCTCAAAACACCAAATACCCAGCCAGCTCGCTGGTACTCTCAGTGAATGTGGAAGGAAAGGAGGGAAGGAGACATTTCCAATCTTTTGTTTCAAACGCGTCCAGCCTTTTGAATCACCTGGTGTGGATTTGATTCCATCTTGGCTGTCCAGCCTCCACTAGGGTGCTTTCTGCCCTGCTGCCTTCCCCGGGGAAGGAAGAGAGGCGATGTGGTATAATACAAAGCTCTCTAGGCAAGGATGCAGTGGACGAGGGGCTTAGCCTACTGCTAATGGGCATGATAGCCCCCAGCCCCCGAGCAACCTCCCGAGGTTGCCATTCAGATCAAAAGAGGAAAACACACATTAAAGTGCTTTACAAACTGTAAAAACAAAACAACACTCACATACAAGTCTCTCCTCCCCAGGAGGGTCCATTATTATTTTTAAAGTGTGTAAGCGCCTCTCCTCTGGGTGTCCTCCATAACAGTGTCCCTGTCCTGCCTCGCACGGCACCGCTTCCTGCTCCCCCCTTAATCCCATCCATGAGCTGGTAAAAAGCTGTTTATCGCTTCCTGGAGGCGTCCCCAGCCCACTCCCCCTCTCCAGGGACAGCGCCTGCCGCCATAAACCAGACACGTGTGCTCCCGAGTTTGGTTTGTGAGCCCTTGGAGCCTGGCACAGCTGTGGCTGCTCGACTTGCCTTGTGAAGGAGCAGGCTGGGAAGGCTGATAAGGTGGGCTGGGGCCACCATGCGCAGAGTGGGGGGGTCCCCAGGAATGCCCTGGAGGGCATGGGGTTCCCTGGGCCCAGCCTCGTAAGCTCACGCCTGCTCTAGGTGGCCTGAGGAGCGAGGCTCCTTCCCTCGTGTCCCTGCCCCCTCTCTGCTCCCCTCGCCCATCATTTATTTATAAGGTGTTCATAGCAAAATGAATGACAAAAAGTTAGAAGCTAATTAAAGCTGGCACAGATTGGCACACGGGGGCATGAATTATGCATTGGTGTAGAATGGCGCTTGGTGGCAAGGACTGGCACCAAGTGCCCTGGGCATGGTAGGCAGTGGGCTTGGGCCCCAGCTCTGCCTCGTTCCCCACCAGGCCTCTCCGAGGGGCCCTCCATCCAGGGCCCTCTGCCTCTCTGGGGCAGCTGGAGCCTTGTCAGCCACCATCCCGCAGTGGGCAATTCCTCTCTGCACAGCCCAGCATGTCCTGGCTGACAGAGGAGTCAACAGCACAATCACAGACTGGACTCATCCCACAAAACAATGTCCCTGGGGCTCCAAACACTTGCCTGTCATCCATGTGGACCAGGCTGGGCTTCCAAAAGGGTGGGGGCAGTGGAGAAGGCCTGAGATCCAACCGGTTGATGGTGACATGGGCACATCCGAGCTGGAAGATGCCCTTCTAAGCCATGCAGTCCAAACCTCACAGTGTACTCACAGATGGAGAGCCTGGGGCTCAGAGAGGGACAGGATCTGTACAAAGTCACAAGGCAAATAATCATAATAATGACAATGATGATAATAATAATGCTGGGGTTTATTTAAAGCCAATTTTGTGCCGGCCACCATTCCAAGTCTTCGTATGGAATGTCTCAATCCTCACGGGAAGAAGACACTATAATTATTCAAATTGACAGATAAGGAAACTGAGGCAGCATAGGAATATAAAAGCAGATTGCCCAAGGTCATGGAGCTAATGAGGGGAAAGTCCAGATTAAACTAAATCCAAGCAGTATGGCTCCAAGCTTTGTCCCTCTATGGGCAAGGACAGTGGTTCTCAAGCCTAGAAGATCCTGGGAGGTGAGGCAGGGTATAAAAGCAGAGATTCAGATCCGATTGGTCTGGGCTAACCTCTGAACGTGGCATTTATGAAAGCTCCTTGAGTGATTCTAATGCACAGAGGAAAACCATTGGCGGGGGGGATATGGATTTTGACCCCAAAAATCATAGATGTGATTTC